CATTGGACGTTACGCATTGAATGGCAGCGGAGAAGATGAGTGACAGCATGTTATCGGCTGACTGCCCTTTTTGTCCGTCAAGAGAACGCACTCAAATAAATCAAAGGACATTGCGAGTACGTAACCTTGGAAGTGCAGAGCGTCATGGGGTTTGCACTTTTGTGCCGATCGATCCAACAATTCGTCGCCCTGCCTCCACATCACACCCTTATTTCCTCCCAACCCGTTCTCACCTGCTTCATCACGCTTTTCGAAACGTTTGAACCTATTTGTGTGCGCTTATCGTTCGCGATCGTGTAGCCCTGCTGGGAAGGGACCATTTCTTCATTTTGATCAGTTGAAGCGATTGTGCTCGCACTGATGACTACTCTTGTTGCTGATTATGGTAGGATATCGAACTATAAGACGTAGGTTTTGATCTATACCTGTTCTCTACCAACTTTTGCCCTATCCCATTTGAAATTTTCTTCAGTTGCTTTGTGTCTGTAAGAAATATGGTCGTGTGGTGCAGCTGGTCGTTATTGCGGCAATCAGTGGAACGATCACTTTAGTTATCGTTCGTTAAACCCATACGTTCTCGAGACGAGAACAGTATTGATGAGAAAGCCCTGAGAAATGTGCAGAAAACCACAATCGCCTCAATGAAGCACCACAGGCCGTCTCTTCTTATGATTTTCCTCCCGAAAAAGTCCAAAGAAATGTGTCGCAGTCTTCACGCGGTTTGAGTTCGCTTCTGTCTCTGTGCTTTTTTCATTTGTTCTTTCTCCTGTTTCTTTTTCCGCGCAAATTCTGCGATAATTTTCGTAAGTACGCAGAGTTATGGGTAATGTAAAGCCCCTGCACTGGAGTCGAACTAAAGCTCGCTTCATCCGGCTTGTGTGATACCGATTACACCATCAAAACTGTTTTGCGCCCTGTCAGCTTGGTATGTTTTCGAAATGGTTTTTCGGCAGTCACGCGTACAAAATGATGAGCCGGTTAGGCTGCGGTCATACTTTGCGTCAGCGTTTTGACTGCGCTTCGAGCGTACGCCAGCACTTCGAGCAACTAGAAAGTATAGGTATCGATCTAGCGTTTTGAGCGTTTCGCGGTTAATTTGAACTTTGGCAGGCAGAGTCGCTGAAAACGCTGGCATACATCGATCTAGCGCACGCTAGATCGATATCCATACGTTCCTAGTTGCTGAAAGGGTGTGGTACGCTCAGAACGTCGACCCACAGTGAGGGCCTAGAACTATCAAGCTGAAAATGCGTATTGGCGTTCATTCTTTTCGACTCTAGAGATTCGGAAAATGGAAGAGTCGTGGAATTGTGAGAGTCGAAGGGTCCGAGAAACAAGGTTAGTATACGTAGCGATCTGGGAAGTGGGGGGGAGTTTCATTTCTTCAAATCCTCGGTTCTGCAATTGGGCGGGGTCATTCAGTGTGCATCTGTTCTTTTTCACGTATTCATCTTTGTACTTATTCTCGTTCTGCGATTCTTCATTGTCGGGAGGTATGAATGCGTCCTCTCCGGGCCACTGTCAGGGAACGTTCTGTCGCTTAGAAGAAATTTTGCAAAATCCGCTCCCCCCGCAACTCTCAAATCCCCCCCCTGGAATGCCCCTCCCCTTCTGGCCTGCCATCTGCCTGAGGGGAGACCGACGAGGTAATCGGTATTAATTGCGTCGTCGCGCGCGATGTATCGTGAGGCCATGCGCGACAAGCTCTCAGTTTGACTCGAGCAGTGTAACTCAAATGAATTCACTCGAAGACAGAATTCCAGGATAGGCGGTTTCGAGCTTCCCCTGTCGGTCTTACAGTAGGATTCAAACGGTCATGCAGAACAACCCGTCTGCCAGGCGTGGCATCTCCCGCCACGCCCACCAGCGCGGCGTGTTACGATTGTCTTGCCACATACCTCTTCACTCCTTCTTCCAACTTCCTTCACTCCTTCTTCCTTCCAACTTCTTGTCACCTTTTCCCAGTTTTCCGAAAAGTTTCCCATTTTTGCCTCAGAAAGAAACCGCCGTCGAGACCGGAGGGGGGTCGCTATCAAACAATTACTATATTCGACTATTGAAAACTAATTGTGTAGGCTTTTGACCACACCACAACTAGAGGAGTTGCCAAATGCGACCCCTCCCAATGGGAGTCTCCCAACGTTGGGCATAGCATTTGTGAGAGTTAGAAAAACTAACCCTTTCTGCATCGTGCAAATACAACCACCCGCTGGGAGATACCCAGCGTTCGATGTGCTTGGCTATGATACTGGCTATTATAGCACCGGAGCCAATGTACGTATTTTCAGATTGATATATTTCACCATAGCATAGCCTGGTTGGCTTGGGATGAAGGTGCGTGTCCGAATGGGTTTGGCGTTCGTTAAGCCCGTGTTCCACCAACCGTCGAAGCGAGCAAACGACAGGACCATCGTATGGTTCGAATCAGTCGTTTTCCACCAATTGTTGTCGCTTACCCGCTTCAACAGCTGGTAGAGGACCGATTTGTCGCCGCGCTGAATGCATCCCACCGGACACGCCCCGCTATCCGCAGCGAACCAGACTGTATTAGCAACAATATCGGGCAACCGGGCAATCTAGCGTTGCTGGCAGTTTGAGTACCGATAAGCTAGTGTTGAAGGCTTCATTGTGAAAGTACGTAAGGTGTCTCTGGTGGTGTAATGGTTATCGTACAAACCAGGTAAGCGTAAACTTTGGGATTATCCAGGGAATTCGCCAACTTACCATGGAACTTTGAATGGAGACCTGGGTAGATCGATAGAGTCTATAAGGTTATTTACAAATATAGATAGCAAAACCTGCATTTCACAAGCAACTTATGAGCAGGTCGAATCGAGTGATCGAACGTCGAACCTTACCGCTGGACCACCACGACTCGATTCGACGTGAGTGATTCCTCGCAGCTCCCACCAAGCCTCCACCCTATCGGCACGCTAACAAACTTTAGAGCGCGTTCAGACTTCGCGATCTGCGCGATCCGATAGGCAGCGATCGGCTGTATCGCGCGACCTCAATCGCGCGATCCGGATCGCGCGATCGCTGTGATCGCGCGATCCTTGCACTACTGTGGGTGAAATTCACACCGGGAGGGAAGGGTCATGTTTTTTCATGTTTTGTTCTGTTTCACTTTTCCTGTTTATTATTTCTTTTCCTTCTTCTTCCTTCGTGTTCATAAGGCCTTTTTATGTTAAGGAACGTTTCAAAATAACTTTGATTTGTTTCTTTGTATTCCCTCTCAAATTTTTTTTTCAGATTCGGTTTCTGCAATGTAATGTTGGCGGCGATCGCTGTAGGGGTGAGTTTTTCTTCTTTCTTTTGTTGCTATAGTTTTTTGATGAATAGCTGCCATATTTTCTCTTCATGTCTTTTGTATGGCCCTTTTTCATCATAATTTCTCGGCGCATTCCCCGTGAGGTGTGCTCATCTAGTCCGGCTCCTGGCGCACGTACGTCCGCATCCTGTTATTATGTTTCGCCGCCACCCCCTCTTCATAATCCTACAAGCCCGCCCCTGGCTCCGCCTACTTCTCTTTAAAATTTCATTTCTTCCCCAAAATTTTTCTACGACATCTCCGGCCCACCCCGAGCATTCTGGCAGGGTGTGTCATTAGGTCCGCGCGGGGCACTACGTCTCTCAATGGGGCATTTACGTTCTCTCTGGTTGGGCCGCCACGCCCCGCCTTCCACCGACGCGGATAGGAACAGGCGGAGAACAAAACACGAGAGAACGATAAATAGCCCAATGAAGAGAACGAATAGTGCCAACCGGCGACGACTAATAGACAAGACACACCAACTGCCGAGAAATGCACGGGGTGGGCACCGGAAGATGTCGATAAGAAAAATTTGGGGAAGAAATGAAAAATATTTAAAGAGAGTAAGGCGAAAGACACAAGAAGGGCGGGCATTGATTAAGAATATGAAAAGGGTTGATAGCGCGGCGCAACAATAAATAACAAAAGATAGGGATCGGTAGTGCACCCAGAGCGGACCTATGAACACACCTCACCTGGGATGGGCCGGGAATAGGTGGAAACACAAGGCCATCCACCAAAGCAACACTCGAAAGAGGGCAAATAGGGCATCAAAAAACTACCTAGCAACAAAGACACCAGAATCGAAACAACTCACCCTCACAGGCGATCGCCCCCCGCCAAACACCTCTACTTGCAGAACACGAATCTGAAACAAAAATTCTCGAGAGGCAAATACAGAAGAAACAGTCCAAATCAAAGTTATTTTGAAACGTTCCTTAACATAAAAAGGCCTTATGAACACGAAGGAAGAAAGAAGGAAAAGAAATAATAAACAGGAAAAGTGAACAGTAACAAAAAACATGAAAAAACATGACCGGCGACCCTTACCCGCTCACCGGTGATGAAAATTTCACCGCACCAGTAGTGCAAAGGATCGCGCGAAATCACAACGCGATCGCGCGATCCGATCGCAGCGATCTGAGATCGCAGCAGTCACACAAGCGATCACCCGCGATCAGCGGAAGTCTGAACAGCGCTGTTATCCTTGCTCATAAGTTGCTTGTGAAATGCAGGTTGCAGTTTTGCTATCTATGTAAATAACCTTATAGACTCTATCGATCTACCCAGGTCTCCATTCAAAGTTCCATGGCGTTGGCGGACTTCCCTGGTAAGTCCCGGTTAGGGTCAGGATTTTTGCTTGTAAAATCGCCTATTTATAGTTATTTTCTGAGAGCGTTTCTCTTCATAGGAATTCCAAGAGAAGCTCCTTGTCAACTTTTATACCACCGAAATGCTCGTCCTATACGCTCCTAATATGTACTGCTTTGGTCGCTGTTCTGTGTATCACCTGTATCACCTGTGCTCCCGTTGATCATCGAGTTCCTCGAGCGGGCGCCAGTAACGTCTCCATTCGTCCCTGCAACGTGCAAGAGTTGCCCAATGAACTCTCTCAGCTCGAGGGACACGATGAACTTCATACCTGTTCTGTGTATATTATGTAATATTCAAGCATTTTAGGACAGCGATGGGTCGTGATGATACACGTATCTACGTTGGAAATCTGCCATCCGATGTTCGCGAAAAAGATATAGAGGATTTATTCTCAAAATATGGAAAAATTCGCTTTGTGGACATCAAAGGAGGCCGTGGACCGCTTTATGCTTTTGTTGAGTTTGAAGATTATCGGTGAGGGTTGGCTGCCCTTTTACAACAAAGCCTTGTTCTACTAATAATTGTCAACAATTGTGCTTCTTTTCAGTGATGCTGAAGATGCTGTTCGTGGAAGAGACGGCTATGATTTTGACGGGAACCGCATCCGCGTCGAATTTACTCGAGGAGTCGGTCCTCGCGGACCGGGTGGACGTCCAATGAACCCTGCTTATGCGAGAGAATGGCCAGCTCCACGTCGTGGTGGGCCGCCATCGCGGCGTTCAAATTTCCGTGTTATTGTCGAGGGCCTTCCACCAACTGGATCGTGGCAGGATCTAAAGGTATGTTTTGTTGAAGGATCAGACTGAGTTCTTCGCGACTAGGGAGATTCAGCAATTTGGAAAATTTGGCGATTCGAGAGATTGCGCGCTGGGGACTGTATGATTGTTGATTTGGCAACTGAGGAGATTGAGACTGCGTTTAAACTTTGTGGCAGCGTCCGCCAGCGACGTCGGCGTCTCGAGGGATTAGGAAAGTGTTGATATCGATCTAGCGTCAACCAGCATACACAGCGTCCAGGAGTACGGTATAGTGCAGTAGTACGGTTTGCACACGCCACAATTTCTCGCCTCATCCAAATATCTACTACCTCTTACTTATCCACACTCTTCACTGCTGGCCACTGGTAGACGCTAGATTGATATACATGCTTTCCTAGACCCTCGAGATGCAGGTGTTCGCTGGTGGACGTAGGTAGACGTGGTAAACGCTGATGGTCGCTAGGTCAGTATCCATACTTTCCTACTCGCCGACGAACTCGAAACGCTGATTTTCGCTGGTGGCACGTTGCCGCAAAATGTGAATGCGGCCCAGCGATACGGCGATTTGAGAGTTTCGGCGATACCTCGAAACGCGCGGTATCGCCGAAACTCCACAATTGCTACCTACCAGCTCCGATCGATACCCATTTACTCTTTTGTCGCGCAATCGCCGGAAGCGCCGAGTCTCCGAAAACGCCAGGTCGCTGAATCTCCTCAGTCACACTGTAGGGACACTGTCTACAGGACTTACAGTTTGAATTTTCAGGATCATTTGCGTGAGGCTGGAGAGGTTTGCTATGCCGATGTGGCGCGTGATGGGACAGGAGTGGCCGAGTTCATTCGATACGATGACATGAAATATGCCGTGCGCAAACTCGATGATACAAAGTTCCGTTCCCATGAGGTTTGTAAAGTTAGGACTTTTACAAGTGCGTTCATACTTTGCGGCTGGGTTTTGAGCGTATGCCAGCTTTACGAGCGGCTAAGAAAGTTAAGGTATCGGTTGTTGCTCAAAACGCTGACACGTAGGAACGCACTACATCTTCATATTCAAGTCGATTTTCGGAGAGAATTTGTTACGTTCAGGGTGAAACCGCGTACATTCGTGTACGTGAGGACATAAGCGGTTTTGGTCGTAGCCGCTCGAGAAGTCGTTCTCGTAGTCCTCGTCGTTCGTCGCCGAGGTATAGTCCTAATCGCTCGCGATCGCGCAGCCGCTCACCGTCACGTACTCCATCACGCTCACGCAGCCGTTCACCGCAGGACTAAGCGGCCAGCACCAGAGGGAACAACTCGAGCGATCTTCGATGTCCATTCGAATGGTACATTTATGTTTGTACAAGCGTGTTTCATGAATTGCACAGTGCTTGTCGTTAATTCCTAGTTTACGTTCCCAGTTTCACTGAAATTGCAAGCATCGCATTTTTTTGTTGTTCTTGACATAGTGTTAGTATTACATTTTTATCGGATTCTAATTGAATGAAGTGTTTTTGTTTTGCCACTAAAGCTACAGTTTCAGCCTCCACTCCACAATGGGATAGGAGGAGGAGGATGAAGGAGGAGGATATACCTGTCTAAAGGACTAACAATAGGATATGAGATGAGCCACGATCAGTGGAGACAAAGAGGGATGGGGACCGACCAATAGGACGTGGGACAAGGGATCGGGGCGATAGGACAGCGTGAGATTTTTGTTCTTGTTTTTCAGGTTTTCTCCACTTTGATCACTTGTGATCACTTTTCCTTTTATCGGCCTTTATGGCCATGTCGTGCTTTTGTATTTGTTTGAGTAGGTTCAATGAGCGATAATTCCAACTTTCAGGTAAAACAACTATTTTCGGCACACGGACAAAAGGCCTTTACTTTCTCGGGTTTTCCTTGAGAGGAAGAATCGCTGTACGATTACCTTCAAGTGCGTTCATACTTTGGGTCAGCGTACGCCAACGCCAACGACTAGAAACTCATAGATATCGATCGGGCGTTTCGAGCGTTAGCACGGGCAGTATTGCTCAAGCTCAAAAGTGCCCTCGGGAACGCTCGAAACACCAACTTGCTTTCCAAAAACCAACGACATCTACACTTCCCTTGTTGCTGGTGCTGGCGTACGCTCAAAACGCCGGCGTACGCTGAACTGAAGTATGAAGCAACCTTAAGTCGATCCTTCCAGTGTGCAGGGTGGGTTGCTTCGGAGCCTTGACAATGTGGCCTTCAGTACTTTACAAAAAGCGCGGCAAGCCAGAGTATTAATATAGTTAGATGTTCATTCTATTTCTGCCCCTCTGCTTTCTGTGCGCACCTGTCGGTCAGCTTCATAGCCATCTGGTTACAGACTAACCGCCTTGCGGCTGGCCGTAGGCGTGCCCAGCCGCAAGACGGTAATCCTAAGGACGCTGAGGCGTTGATAACCCTGGAGGAAGCATTTAAAATATTCCTACTAGACAAGGATTGCCGAGATGGGTACAGGGACTCCCGCGTCAACCTGAAGAGCGAGGTTCACGTTTGGCTGCGTTCATATTTTGCTTCGAGTGTACGGCAGTGTTTTGGGGTATGTGGCAAGAGAATCGTAATTCGCCGCGCCAGTGGGCGTCGCGTGCGACGTCGCGCCCGCTAATGACGACGATTTTAGGTGGTATTGGTCGAGAATAGACAATGTATGACCAAAAATAGACATAAGTGTCCATGTCCTTGTCTACATGAAATCCGATGCTTCCAATCGAAAGGGTAGCGCAACTTGAAGGAAACATTGCGCCCATTGCCGTGCGCGACGAAGCGACAATTTTCGATTCTCTTAGCCCGTCTCCCAGCGTTTTGAGCGTTTCGCGAGACTCGCTGAAGACCATGCCGCACACTAAATACTGTGACACAAAGTATGGCGCGCTCTCTTGCGTATTGAAGTGGACACATAACCAACTGCAAGCCATCACGAGGCTCTGTGGCTTCAATTTCGCGCACTCTCCGGGACTGCAACATTTCTGCAACTGTGCACCTCCCACCTCGTGGACCCGTTCTAAGGTAATCGTGCGGCGTCTTTAAATCATCCTAAGGACGCTGAGGCGTTGATGAGGGATGATTTGAGATATTTCTACTAGACTAGGAATTGCCGGGTTGGGGCATCGCTTACGGGATCGGTGAGCCAGTCTCAAGCGCAAGTAATTTGTTCGGATGATAGTAATCCCAGTTGCACACTCTGTCTGCGTTACATAATTTCGCCATGCGCGAAAGCTCAAGATGTCAGTAATACTTGAAGCACGTCCTGACAATTCAGAGCTTACAATTATGAAGCTTAATGTTGTGCTGTGTGGAACACTTCCGCCTTCAACTTTTGAATACTTTGAACAGGGGTGTTGTTTGCGTGAAACGTTTTGCTTTTTACACTATTGACTTTGTCCTTTAAATTGTAGAGTTTGACAATAATAAAC